CGGATTGTTGCAACAGTAACCGTGGGTCGGACGGCGCCCCCCCCGCGCCCCCGCGGGACGGATCCGTCCGTCGCGCTGTTTTGACCCGAAAACGAGTTTTTAGGCTGTTTCGATCAGTTTTTTCTGTTCCAGAGGTTTCTAACTGACTTGATATCATCCACAAACGTGGTTAGGCCATTATTGACCGAAGATAAGACTAAATCACTCATTCTTATCCACATACCCGCATCCGGAGCCCTATAAATACAAACCTAGGGCCTCCTTTCAGCAGGGGAATTAATTATCAAGAGGAGGAGGTGCTGCCGGATTGAGGAGTCAAAGGAGCACGAATTTCAGCGAGGGTTGACAGATCTTGGCGAGTTCTTCGGCATAAAGAAGGAGAGTTCGAGAGATCCGACGCCCGTTTCCCCTATTTCCTTGAGATCAGGCTTGGTCTTGATCTCGAGAAGAACTACTGATTTCGCTTGGTCGATCTCAGCGCTTCAAATCAAACACTCCCTCGGTGAAGACGAAGCTCTGCCTAATTTTCTATCAACCGGATCCAGATCAAGTTGGTCCACGGATAAACCCCGGCACCGGCGAAGACACCCACGCAAGCAGGAGACGATAAACGGATCTTGCGTTTATTTTCAAGAGAATTGTATCTTTTATTTTTATTGTGTAAATGTCTTATAAAAAGACCGATCTCTTTGAACTTATTGTAACGATCAAAGTTGTAATGAGTTATACAATGAAGAAAACAATTTTCGATGAAAACACTATCCTTTTTTCGTTATTTCTTCTTCTTCTTCTCCAAATTAAATCTAAAGCTAAAACTTTTTGCATTGTTTGTCCTCGATTCAATGTAAGGAAACATGGAGAAAGGCTCAAGATCTTTAACCCCAGCACCAAGCATAAGAGGAGAGGGGAGACGTGATGAGGATGAGAGAAGGATTTGAGAAGTTTGAGAAAATTAGAGATGAAATTCTAGGCAACTTGCACAAATTTCCCCTCTGCCAATTTGAATTGAGTCAATGTGCTCTCCAGCTTTAGATCTCAAGTCGCTAAGGCTCTTTAGGACATAGTAACTTTGAGGAGGTGGGAGATTGGGGTGTTTTTTTCTACTATCGTCTATAATGCAAATAACCCTCGGACAAATTTTCAAAACCAACCCTTTTAGCATTTTATTTGCAAAAAACGACCTATTTTGAAAATAATTACAAAAACCGACCTGTTTTCAGCCCAGCGCTGAAAACAGGTCGGTTTTTGTAAAAAAGTCTCCGAAACATCACGGGAGTTCAACTCCCGTGAAGTTTATCGAGAAATTAAACTTCACGGGAGTTGAACTCCCGTGAAGCTTAATTTTGCTTAAAACTCCACGGGAGTTCAACTCCCGTGGAGTTACAGTCGAAAATTTCCAGCGAACCGATCTCGGTTCTTCGGGAATTTTTTGACTGCAACTTCACGGGAGTTCAACTCCCGTGAAGTTGCAGTCAAAAATTCCCGAAGATCCACTCTCTGGAAATTTTCCGTCCTCTTCTTAGCATTGATGGAACTCACTTATATGGTAAATACAAAGGCGTTTTGCTTGTTGCAACCGGAGTTGACGCGGATGGCGGGTTGTTTCCTTTAGCATTCGCAGTGGTTGATGTTGAAAATACAGAGAATTGGGCTTGGTTTTTTGCATGCATTAGATATCATATCCCTAGTGTGGGGACGCGGCATATTACATTCATATCCGATAGGATGAAAGGAATTCCAAGAGCACTCCAACGACATTTCCCGCCACCCATGCACTCTGTATATATGCTCATATTTTAATCACAGGTCTATTCATTATGGATCCGGGACCGGAGAATCCCGACGTTTTGTACCTTCAGGCGAGTCATTGTTCAGACCATATTGGTTCGGGAGAGGTAATACGAATAAATTAGATATATATTTCTTCGATTAATGTAATTTTTTAATGAATATACTTAAAACTGATTCTCGTTTTATGTGCAGCCCGTACCAGAGTACACGATGATCGAGCATTCCCATAGTCATTCGGCATGGGTCATAGAGGATGAGAGGGTACTAGCTTTGATCGCTCAGGCCGGTTTTCGACCGTGTTCGACGATTCGTTATATCAGGCTTGATTGGCCGCTTATCACTGCTTTGATTGAGAGGTGGAGGCCAGAGACCAACACCTTTCACATGCATATAGGGGAGTGCACGATCACTTTACAGGACGTGGCCGTCATACTTGGGCTCCGGATTGATGGACCGGTAGTTACGGGCACCGACGATCATAGTTGGCCGGAGGTATGTGCCCGGCTACTTGGACAGGTTCCCGACTTGAGGAGTGGTGCGATGAAGCTATCGTGGCTTCGTCAGACATTTCAGGGCGACATACCAGAGGATGCCTCTGATGAGACGCTCCAGTTTCATGCTCGTGCATACATATTGCACATGATAGGGTGCGTACTATTTCCTGATGCGAGCAAGACTCTCGTACATGCACGATGGCTGCCACTGCTGGAGGATTTTGGTGTATGCGGGGCACTATCGTGGGGCAGTGCGGTGTTGGCATATTTGTATCGAGAATTGAGTAGAGTATCTCTGATGCAGAATAAAGAATTCAAGGGATGCTGTACGTTGATACAGATTTGGTCATGGGAGCGCATTCATATTGGACGACCCACTTTACTTATGCACCGTGACTTAGAGGGGCAGTATCCGTTGGCATACAGGTATAATTGTACACACACATATTTCATTCGTAACCTGAATATTTGTACTTATATATTCGCTATTCTGCATATAGGTATAACGTGCGATACGCTCAGTACAAATCAGCGACGCGTCACCGTCAGTTTTACCGAAATGAGCTTGATGGCCTCCAGCATGAACAGGTAAATATAAAACTCAAGAAGTATGAATATTATAGTTTTTCTGTATGATACTGATAAATGTTTTATTTTATTTCAGTTCAAGTGGAGACCCTATACACCGCCGGAGCTCGATATACATTCTCTTGCACCTATCTGCCGAGATAGTCCCGACTTGTGGAGAGCCAGAGTTCCATTGATCTGTTGGGAGATCGTAGAGATGCATGTACCGGACCGTGTGCTACGGCAGTTTACACTCTCTCAGCATATTCCAGATCCTGTCGAGCAGATCAATCGTCGGCGGCGCCCTACATCGCACCGGACTGACTGGGCCGTAGTCCGTGCGGACTACATAGGCAGGTGGGTTCAGAGGTGGGATTGCATACAGGATACGAGGCCCACAGCTGTTGACTATACCACGTATATGCGTTGGTATTGGGGTATCACACGTAGATGGATCACGCGTGACCCACAGCCTTTAGCTGGACACATGCCACGCCCACCGACAGATAGTTACATCCCTAGTGGGATGAACGAGAGAGATTACGTAAGTTTCTAAGCTAAATTATAATATTTTTTATTGAGTTGATACTTAATAAATTGTTTACCACGCAGGTCCGTGTTTTAGATAGCATTGATGCTGATATTGATGCGCACGTGACTGAGATTCAGGATCAGGTGGCGTTAGGTCTCCTCAGCAGGATCAAGAAGAGCATAGCGCAGGTGTTCCATAAGACTCACGTCGACGAGTTCGCAGGCCGTGAGGACAGGTCTCGCTCATTTGGACGGGCGTACGCTCGACGTCGACGGCCGCGTGATGATGACGCCGGCACTTCGCATGCCGATGGAGCCGGCACTTCGCAGCTTCATACACAGTCGGATACTCAGATAGTTGAGGCTCATCAGTAGGAACCCAGGGGGCGGGGAAGAGCGAGGGGGAGGGGGAAGAGAGGGAGAGGAAGGAGGGGAGCTATATTGGGTTGTATATGAACTTATTTTGATAAATTTTGTAACTTTCCTGAATTTTCAAATACTGAACTTTTGAAAATAAATTGTTGTTCATATACATAATCGTGTGTGTTTAATTCATGGTTGAATCATGTATATATTGTTGTTTGCAAATAAATTGGCATATATATGAGTTATAATTCATTGTGGAATCATGTATATATTGTTGTTTGCAAATAAATTGACATATATATGATTTACAGGTAAATATACAAAACCTGCACAGAAGCTGTGCATGCTGGGTGACCTGCAACTTCACGGGAGTTGAAATCCCGTGAAGTTGCAGTGCCAAATTTCCAGAGACTCGATCTCTGGCAAATTTTCGACTGTAACTCCACGGGAGTTGAACTCCCGTGGAGTTTTAAGCAAAATTAAGCTTCACGGGAGTTCAACTTGACTGTAACTCCACGGGAGTTCAACTCCCGTGGAGTTTTAAGCACAAATTAAGCTTCACGGGAGTTCAACTCCCGTGAAGTTTAATTTCTCGATAAACTTCACGGGAGTTGAACTCCCGTGATGTTTCGGAGACTTTTTTACAAAAACCGACCTGTTTTCAGCGCTGGGCTGAAAACAGGTCGGTTTTTGTAATTATTTTCAAAATAGGTCGTTTTTTGCAAATAAAATGCTAAAAGGGTTGGTTTTGAAAATTTGTCCAATAACCCTCTCATTTATATATTCATAGCATTGTGAAGGGGTATTTTCGTATTTATGAGAAACTAGTGTGAACACCACGCAAAACACGGCATCCCTTTTTTTTCACTACAGTAATCCCGGTTTAGTGCTGCAGTATTTTTGAATTGCTACATCATCCTATTTTGCTATAGTAACCTTGTGTGCTACAGTATTTTTTTAAAAACCGCATTTTCCGTTTACCTGTTTTCTACGACAATGATGCTACTGTAGCATTTATTGTAACACGAATAATGAATCTTAGGTTCTCCCATTTGTAAATAGAGGAGTTGATATATAACATCATCAATATTTCCTAACGGGAAATACTAAAAGCCATTTCAACGCAATGTTTTACAAGTGAGATCATTTATAGATGAAAAATTGAGAACTAAAAGATGACTGTAGTGCAATTAGCCCAGTTCACGGAAATAAATTTGCCCTCAAAATATCAATCTAACACTCCCTGCATTAATTTAAAATAAATATATAAATGAAAAAAAAAACTAACTCCTTAAATACCCGTAGGCTTCTACTCTCATCAGAGTCGCCTCCTGCCTCCTCCGCCGCCCCCACCTTACCCAGGCCGCCTGCGTCTACGACCGCTCTCCCATCAAGACCCCCCTCCGAAATAACATGAGCTCCCACGATCACCGTCACCACCCGGCCCACGCGCCGGGTGGCTCCCGGTCCGCCCCGCGCGTCATGGCGAGACTCGCGTCGCCCTCTTGCGGCCGGTGCGCCTCCCCTGGTCCGCTTCGTCCGCTGGTCCTCCTCGCTCCTCGCCTCCCTTTCCACCCCTTCAAGCTCCGCCCCGCCATTCCTTCCTTCAAGTCGCCGTCTGCATCTTTACTCGCTCCCCTCTCCTCCTCCCTCTTCTCCCTCCCGATCTCCTGTACTCCCTCCTCCCCTTCCTCGCGTCGTCCACCCTCTCGCTTCTCCCTCTTTCCCCTTCTCCTTCCTCGTCTCCCTGCCTTCTCCTTCATCCTCCGCTCCCTCCCTTTTCCCCCACGCCTCCTCCCCCCCCCGTCCCTGGCCGGCCCCACCTGCCCTCCTCCGTCATCACCTGCCTTCCCTCCGTCGTCTCTCCCCTCCTTCCTCCGCTTCCGGGGTCGTCCCTCCGGCCGTCCTGCGGCACCGCCGCCACATCTCGCAGACCTTCTCCGCGCTCGCCTCTCGCCTCCTCCTCTCTCCCCCGCCGTCGGGCCCCCACGGCCCCGCCGGCACCGGCTTTCTGACCCTGCGCCTCTCCGTGCCTGGCCGCTCGTGCCGGCAGCTGGGACCCCATTCGGCGCACGGCGGCGGCGCGCATGGGAGGGTGCGGCAGCGGCCCGTCCCAGTGCGTCCTCCCTTTTCCTATCCGGCTGTCCTCGGTACTACGAGGGCCCTCCTCTCCTGGGGCTCCCTCCGCCAGCTCGGCGCGCGCGGGTTCAGGTGCTCTCGTCCCTGGGGCCTCTCCACCCGCGTGATTGCTTCTTTTCCCCGCTTTGATCAGCGTAACGATGGGCGATGGTGGAGGCGACGGTGGGGGTTTTGCTTCTGTTTCGCTCTGGAGTGCTGGGTGGCCTTTGATTAATACCGTCATATTTGGGGTTCTGCTGAACGAGAACTTCGGTGATGAGAAGGTGGCTTCTAGCGTGAAGGACTTCGAGAGGGAGTTTCTGGTTACGTTCTTCTGTACGTTGGTTTTGGAGATGCTCTACTTTCCGAAGCTCTCGCTTCCCGGATTGTTGCTTTGTGGAGCGTTGATGTGGGTGTCGGTTAGGGAGTTGGGTTCTTCGACTTCGGATTATGTCGAGATTGGCAGTTCTCATGCCTCAGAGTCGCTGTACGCTAGGGTGATGTACCCGGTTAGGCACGTTTTGAGTGAGAGGAAATCGAGGAAAATTGCGATGTTTCTTCTGATTAATACTGGGTATATGGTGGTGGAATTTGTGGCTGGGTTCATGAGTAATAGTTTGGGATTGATATCGGATGCCTGTCATATGTTGTTTGATTGCGCGGCTTTGGCCATTGGGTTGTATGCTTCATATATTTCGCACCTGCCTGCCGATCATCGGTATAATTATGGCATGGGGTAGGACTGAGGTACTGTCAGGGTATGTTAATGCTGTGTTCTTGGTTCTTGTCGGGACACTCATCGTGCTTGAGTCAATTGAGAGGATCCTTGACCCTCAGGAGATATCGACTAGCAGTTTGTTGATTGTTTCAGTTGGAGGGCTTTTGGTGAATGTGGTGGGCTTGATTTTCTTCCATGAGGAGCATCATCATGCCCATGGTGGAGGTACGTGTTCTCACTCACATTCACATTCCCACTCGCACTCCCACTCTGATCGCCATCACCACCATGGAAATGATAGTATCAACAATGATCATGGACTAGATGTCGAGCATCACAAGTGTGTTGGAGTGTCTCCTGAATCCTCGAATAGTCATTCTCATAGCAATGCTGATCATGATGATTACCACCATCCATGTGGCAATCCTATTGTTCATCATCATGATTCTACTAATGAGGGTAAGAACACTTGCAATCCTCAAAGGAAAGAAGATGACCATAGTCGCCACTGTCATGAACATGAAAATGAGCATCAGTGCCAAGTGAAGGAACACAGCCATCATGATCAGGACAAACCCACAGTTCATATCCACCAGAATTCTATCGGCAGCAAACATGATCCTCATGGACTGGATACCTCTTCAGCAAATTCTCAAGGCCATTGTCATGAAGGTCACAGGCACGGTCAGTGCCATGGTGATGAAGGAAACTGTAGCCATAAAGAAACTGAGAATCCAAATGATATGAAAGAAGATCATTCTCATCTTCACTCTTCTCATTCAATAAAGCCATCCACACACAAGGATTCACAGAAGCACCATCACATTGACCATAACATGGAAGGGATTTTCTTGCACGTTTTAGCTGACACAATGGGGAGCGTTGGAGTGGTGATCTCGACACTTCTCATAAAATACAAGGGATGGCTTGTTGCTGACCCAGCATGCTCTATATTTATTTCAGTGATGATTGTAGCTTCTGTGATTCCACTGTTAAGAAATTCTGCTGAAATTTTGTTACAAAGAATCCCCAGAACTCATGAACAGGATGTGAATGTAGCTGTCAGTGAACTTACAAGGATTAAGGGTGTTTGCAGTGTCCAGAAGTTGCATGTGTGGAATTTCACAAATACAGACATAGTTGGAACCCTTCACCTTTATGTGTCTCAAGAAACTGATAAAGCTTCTGTTAAAAATAGAGCTTTAGACTTACTGCATGAAGCTGGGATCAAGGATATAACCATACAGGTTGAATGTCTAAAGGGATAACAAGAAGAGTAAAGTTTTAAATCGAATTCAATCGAACCCCAAAGGTGGCTGTTGAAAGTTTATTCATGTGATATCTTACCAGTATTAAACAGCCTACTAAAGGAAATGGTTCTGAGGGAAGATAACTGTCAAACCATCTTACTGGCTAATTTTGAAATGCACTACGCATCTCTACTCAGGTACATACACTACGTTGCTACTTTATAGAGTCATACCTTGCTATAACATTGACAGTAACTTCTATACTGCTTACTTACAGCAAGTATAACAATATCTATTTGAAACCATAAAAGGAGGAGGGTGAAAGCAAAGAAGAAAACTGAAACTTTTAAGCCTAAAGGTTGCCTTTGCCTGGAGGTTTTGGTTATCGTCATTTACTGGATTGTATAGATGTTATTATATTCCAGAATTTTGTCTTTCTTTGTTCATTTGTTCTTTGAGTTGAGAAGTAACATGTAAATTTTTTTCCCTTGTTGTCATCCACAAGAGAACAGTACATTTTCTAAATATTTCTAGCATAATAATTGGAGAGTTGATGCATACTTGTGGATGCATGATTTGGCTCATCTCAGGTTTGTCATACTCAATTATGTCTATAGATGGAAGCATTTACAATAAGTCCTTGTGCTTTAAGGTCTTGAAATTATAGGAAAAGAATCAACAAATTCTTCTGTTATCTTTTCTTGCTTATCCTGCATTTAGTTAGCATATATGTGGTTCATACATTTTCTTAGGATTTTCAATGTCAAAATATTGGGATGTGAAACAACAAGACAAGTCCTCAAGCTTTTTGTCTTTTATCTTTTTGGTTGCTGATGCAGATGTGATTTCTCTCTCTTTATTTTTTCACCTTTGCTTTTGTTACTCATGAATTGATTGACCTGATTGTAAAATTGTCCCTGTTTCCATGAATATCGTGTGATATTATTTGGTGAAATATTATAACCTTTCAAGTGTTTTAACGGTTTTGTAGTCATCATCATTTCCTATATTTTATGTAAAAGTCATCATATGATATCCTGCCAGTATTGAATACTAAGGAAGGTTCTGAGGTGAGATATCTCGCAACCATCTTGCGAGCTACCTTGACATGCACTCCTTGACATGTTAAGCATCTCTGCTCAGGTACATAACCTTCATTGCTATTATCTACGAGTCATATTTCACTACAACGTTGAGTGATAACTTCTATATTGCTTGCTTACAACAAGTAATACAATATCTATCAAAAGTAATACAATATCTATTAAAGATTTGAGATCATAGAGGGAGCAGGGTGAAAACAAGGAAGAAAACTGAAACTTTAAGGCTACGGATTGCATTTGGTTGAAGGTTTTGGTTATTGTCGTTCTTTGTTCCAGAACTTGATTATGCTTGATTATACATATGTTATTATATTCCAGAACTTTGTCTTTCTTTGTTCATTTGTTAATTGAGCTGAGAACCAACATATAAAATCTTGTTCCTTTATGTCGTCCACAACAGAACATTACATCTTTTTTAAATGTCGATAACATAATAATTGGAGAGTTAGTGTGTACTTTTGGAAGCATGATTGGTTCATCTCAGGTACATATTAACTATATCACGCATATAGATGGGAAACATGGTCAGTAGGGTTCTTATGCTGAAATTTTGAAATAGAGGAAAAGAATCAGCATATTATTCTGTTACCTTTTCTAGATTATCCTGCGTTTGGTTAGCACATATCGGGTTCGTACATCTTTCAGGATTTTCTGTGTCGAAAATATTGGGATGTTAATCAGCAAGTCAAGTACCTACGGCTTTTTTCTTGTTTATCTTTTTCGTTGCTTTTGCAGACTTGATATACCTCCACCACCCTTGCTTTTGTTACTTATGAAATGACTTACCAAATTGTAATGTAGAATTGTTTCAGTTTCCATGAATATCATGCGATTTTATTTGCTGAACTATTATTGCGGTACAAATATTTAACCCGTTGCATACTGTTAATGGTTTTGTATTCATTATCATTTCCTATGTTTTCTGTGAAAGTTACCATTTCTCACTAAATCTTTACCAAATCTCAGGGTGTTCAATATCATCTTACATCCGTAGTCGTGGTGCCAAAATGGTTTTGCGTTCATCTACATCACGCTTGGCTATGGAAAGATGAACACTTCAATATACAATATTAAGAGCACACTAGAACCAGAGCAGCTGTAAGGTCACATTTCCCTTGGATGTTATCATGGCCTGTATGCTTTCGGAATGGATTGTATGATTTGTTTTGAACTGTGATACCTTCGTAATATACCTTGTCGTGTTACAATTCAATTTACATGCGAGCATTTATATACACAGTTGCTATAGCCATGATATGCCTATATCCTAGGTTTTGAAGATAGTACTGAATTTATGTTTAGCCTGTCAATTTCCTGTGTTCAATCTATGTTTTCTTGACACAGCAAAACAAAATCAGTTGGTATTTTGGTACTATTAGACGGAGGAGACGATGATGGTGGAACAATGAATAAATGAAGTGTGGGTAACTCGAGAAAAGCATTGTTCTCTACACACCATATATACTAATACTTCAGCAAGTATTCAAACATCTTGGAAGCCAGTTTTATGGTTTTAAGTAGTTGAAACTCTCCGATCCTCAGACCAAAAATTGTTCCTTTTGGTTTCTCGCTTTCACAGTATCGATCCAGAGCCTTCTGGGTAATTTAGGGGAATCTTTATAAGAAAGGGACGAATAGAAGTGAAAGAAAAAAAAAAGGGCCTGCAGGTTAATCATCGTGGGGAAGAAAGCTAGGGAGAAAACTCATTTACCGCTTCTTGTTGTCAGTGCTCCACCACCTCCCATCATCCTCTCATCGTCGAAGTTGCACCTCCTCTCTGTTCTTCATTGAAGCTTTTCAGCCCTCCTCTCTGTTCCTCGTGAAGCTCCAATGTCTTCTCCAACTCTGCCTCCATCTCCACTCTACGAAGCAGCACCATCTCCTCGAAACTCCTCTATCTCATTTTGTATAGTACTTTTGTTCATATTGTCTGATAGTTGTGAGTTATTTTGTGCATAGGATTTCTATAGATGATCAACTACGCATTCATAGAATTTCTGTATTTCTCCTGAGCTTTTCTTATTTTTTGAATATTCATGCATATTTAAATTGGACTATTTTTTGACTTTACCTCTCCGCATCACTATGCTTTCTGTTTTCCACAATATTGATTATTTGTTATCTATTCAAAATTGAAATACCCTTAGCAGAAGAACGCCTGATGAGCTAGAGAACATATACTAACATTACGAACTTAGAGAAAATAACATTAAGGCATATACTTCATGATCCAAACATTAATAAGAGTGGGGGAAGAATAAATAGGACCTCAAAAGTAATAGACAATTTCACAAAAAGCCGTACGCTGTCGGACTAGCTAGCTTGTGCTTGGAAATTAATTCAATTGAGTTCGACAGTTGCGCGTTCGATGGCTACAAGTGCCTTAGTAAATCTCATCTCAATCAAAACTCACATTATAACTCAATACAATTGAAGTAAGCTTATCAGCCAAGATGGTTACGTCTCCCATCTCCGGCTACCATCAAATTAGTACCCGCATGATGCTCAAAGCCCGCAAACCCAGCAGCAAGAGCTACTCTGACCGCTTGCTTAGAGAAAGGACGCCGTCGATCGTGAACAGGTTCAGCCTCGATCGTCACATGTTCTGAGGCTAAGAAGAGCATTCAGGAGGACGTACGTGGATAGAAAAAGGGCACCGGCAGTCACGGACAAATTCAGACCCATCACCATTTTTTCCAGATTAAGGAAGAACATCAAGACGGGCATTCTGCCTCATCACGGGTGGCTTGGATGTGAATGGACAGAGCTTGATTACGCTGTAAATGGATCCAAATGCGAAGAAAACAGAACATGTAATAATAAAGATTTGGTAGTCGCTCTATGGACAGGATGGTACAACGGAGGGAGCCGACGCTTGAAGAGCCATCGAGATTCAAGGCAATCGCTACTTAGTGATCGCGGAAGTGGTTGGTGAATATGATTTTGGCAACGTTGGTTGCTTCTCCCTCGGTGTAGAAGGCTTAATTTTGTGCACTCTAGATTCTGGAGTAGGAAACTATTTAATTACGTGGTCCGATGTATGATTAGATCAATACGGTGATTTCCTAGTTTAAGTGACATGCTGTATGCTTACCTATTTAAGGCTGCTTGCTTAATTGGTACGTCATGATGATGTAGAACACATGTTGGACATGTTTATGGATAAACGGGACAGTCAAAAGCCCAAACATGAACCCGGTCAAGGAAAATAACTTATCACGAAGAACGGGTTGTATCTTTTTTCAAACCGTAAGTCCGGATTGGATGAATTATATAATCGCATGTTTTTTCGAGACTGGGCCGACCAAACCGACAAATGTTTGGTTTGCCACCGTCCGTTTCGCCAAATTCCCTCCGGATTGAGAGATATCAGCATTTTTGTTAGTTTTTTACTATTTTTGGTAATGTTTTAGAAGTCTGTGTCGATTAGGAAGTGTAGGTCGTAAAATTGATCTCAAAGATTTGTATTAATTGAAATTGGATTATAAATCAAAAATCACTTTTACACAAAAGCGAAGAGAATTGATTCGATCTCTCCTTGTTCAACGTGGGTTCTTTGGTAGCGATAGGATGTCTCCCTCGATGTGCGTGTCGAGTTTGCTTCCCTTGGACAATTTGAATGAGTTTGCGGGCAAGTTTTAGAGCGTGGTAGAAACTTGAGTTGAATAGTTCGATCACACGAGCTTGAAATCAAGACCGAATGCTCAAAATAGGCAAGATTCGGTTATTTTATCTTCCCAAAGACCAAATGCCAAGAAAATTCAAGATCTCAGAAAGCTAAGATCAAGAAGATGTAAAGAGCCAATGATGCGGCATAAACATGTATCAAAAATGTTGCAAGTGCACAACCGTATCAAATTATAGTATAAAAAGTTATCGGGCCCATGAGGAAGGTGTTTTGTAGGAGAAAATTAAAATTGGTTCTTATGTTGTGTGCGTGACAAAAAGGAGTGATGAGTGAATGTGATTGTGGAGAGATAATGAAGGTGATAGTGTGTAAATAGGTACAAAATGCAAGTGAGAGTGGATGTGACAATGAATGAATGATTTTCACAAGGAGAGATGAATAAAATTAAGAATCAAAAAGGAAAATCAAGAATGAAATTAAAATTCAAGAAAGTAAAGATGATGGATTCAATTAAAAATATGGGTAATCTAAAATTGAACCCACTTATTAGAAAATGGTGATTTCCTAGAGGGTTCTAGCCTAAAGGCGAATCAAAAAAAATAAAAATAAAAATAAAAGAAAAACTAAACCCAAGAGGGTTCTAGCCTCAAGGTGAATAGTACAAGAAATTAAAATCTAACTACAAAATAAATTACAAAATCTAAACTACAAAACAAATTGTAAGAATTAAATACAAAAAAATTAATCTAATCTATAAGCATGAAATAAATCTAAGGCAAGAGGGTTCTAGCCTCTTGACTATTTAACAAGAAAATAAAATCTAACTACAATCATAGAAATAAAAGAGGAAAATAAAAGAAATGCAAAACTTCAAATAATTTTTCATCTCCATCTCCATCATCCAACAAAGAGAAGAAATATTTAAAGTGGTAAAAAAATTATTTTATTAATTGTAACAAAAGTTACAAATTTAGAAGGCCTTCGTAATTAAGAGTGGTCATCCTCTCCAAATGGAGTTACAAAAATTTTCACACCCCTAACCCCTCACACTCTACCCCTATTTATAGTAAACATCAGTGAATGTGAGCCATTGGATTGAAATCTTATCCAAAACCATAAAAAATCAGCCCTTAATTCGTAACAGAATTGTTAGTATCGATGCCAGCATCGATGCTGGCATCGAAGTATCGATGCCGGTATCGATCCCAGCATCGATGCTGGTATCGATGTCCAATCAAAAACCTATCTCCACAAATGGCTTCGTCTTGTCGAGATAGGCGATTTTCATATATTATATATTAAATTCCGCTTTCCGGATTGAGAGATATCGTCGTTTCTTTGCTGCAAACCATCTTGAATATATTTTGTTTTCATATTTGATTTTTTATTTTCTCCGGCTTCTACAAGCTACACGGCTTGATTCTGGGCTTGGGATTTTTGGCTCTTGCTTGTGTTCTTCATTTAATTCATGAGCTTTTATTGAGAGATGGGATTTTTGGGCTTTATTCTTCATTAACCTGTAATTAAAGATAAAAACAATTATTACTTCATTAACCTGTAATTAAAGATAAAAACAATTATTAGTGATAAATTTATTCATATAAACTAGATAATGGGGTATAAAATTATAATAAAATATTATTATCAAATACCCCCACACCTAAACTTTTGCTAGTCCTCTATCAAAGAAAGAAAAAGAAAACCTAACTCACTTTCGCAGGAATCGCGGTTGTATTTAGCACATACAACAAGCATTTAAACCCCTAAGTTATCCTAGTAGACGAGTTGTAGTCTTGTGAGGGTTTGCAGTGAATATACCCACAAAATTCGGTCATCTTACCAAATTAAAGAAGTTAGTAAAAAACTAAATTTACTTGATAATTGAAGCTAGTTATTACTCACGAAAACATTTTTATATATAACTCTAAGGTAAATTTTCTAGAAAATCTTCTCATTATAGCAATACAAAATCAAGCCAAACTTAGAAATTTAATTTAAAAGTTTTGACAAGAACATGCTAACTCATTGTTTTAAATAGTTTTCAAGTTACTTGATCTAAAATATTTTCCAAGACCATATATACAAATATAACTATATATATATAGTATTATTTTTTTTTACTTTCTTTTTTCTTAACTTTTTTTTCCTTTGTGATTTTTTTCTATTTTACGGGCTTTCTAAGTGACCATTTAACGAGTTTTGGGCCAATGGATCCCAACCCAATTGGGCTTAGGTCATTAAGTATGAAAATACTCATTAGGCTTAATTACTCGGTCAGCTTAGGTTTTATAAGATAGAATCACCTTGAATTCAAGAGTTTTTTTTGTACCCATTTTTCGCACTCTTCTTTTGCAATTCTATTTATTATTATTATTATATATGTATATATATTCTAAAAAATATGTAAATCAAGACACTTTGAAAAATTATTTTTAACTCTAAGCTAAGCATGCAAAAATTTCATTATTTTAAATAAAAGTCCAAGTTAAGGCTTTCAGTAAAGTATACTACTTTGAAAATTATTTCTTAAGAAATTTATTTAGAGTTATCATAAAAAAAGGTGAACTTAAGTAAAAAACCAACTAGGGATTAGAAAATTTCAAATTTATCAAATAAATCAATTATTA